TCCGAGGACCCGGCAGGATCGAAACAACCGCGAACCAGCCTCACGTGGAGCTCGTCTAAGCGTCGGCTTCATCGGATGCCTCTGCACGCTCCCAACGCCGACACGACCCCCTCAGCACGATATGCAGCGCCCGGAACGTCGATCTCACGGACTGAACAGGCCAAACAAGCAAAACAAGCTGCAGGCCGGCAGGAGCGGAAAAGCAAAATTCCCAAACCGGGACTCGAACCCGGGTCGCGTGGGTGAAAGCCACGTATCCTAACCGCCTAGACTATTTGGGAGCACCTTCTCGTAACCAACCCTACACGCAACTCGCGCCCTTTGCGCCATAACCACCACCCGCACGCCGACCAGATACGCACCCCCAGCCCGCCCACGCCCGCGCGCGCCTCCCCGTCGCCAGCGCTTGCCTCATCGGTCCGAAACAACCGCGAACCAGCCTCACGTGGAGCTCGTCTAAGCGTCGGCTTCATCGGATGCCTCTGCACGCTCCCAACGCCGACACGACCCCCTCAGCACGATATGCAGCGCCCGGAACGTCGATCTCACGGACTGAACAGGCCAAACAAGAAAAACAAGCTGCAGGCCGGCAGGAGCGGAAAAGCAAAATTCCCAAACCGGGACTCGAACCCGGGTCGCGTGGGTGAAAGCCACGTATCCTAACCGCCTAGACTATTTGGGAGCACCTTCTCGTAACCAACCCTACACGCAACTCGCGCCCTTTGCGCCATAACCACCACCCGCACGCCGACCAGATACGCACCCCCAGCCCGCCCACGCCCGCGCGCGCCTCCCCGTCGCCAGCGCTTGCCTCATCGGTCCGAAACAACCGCGAACCAGCCTCACGTGGAGCTCGTCTAAGCGTCGGCTTCATCGGATGCCTCTGCACGCTCCCAACGCCGACACGACCCCCTCAGCACGATATGCAGCGCCCGGAACGTCGATCTCACGGACTGAACAGGCCAAACAAGCAAAACAAGGTGCAGGCCGGCAGGAGCGGAAAAGCAAAATTCCCAAACCGGGACTCGAACCCGGGTCGCGTGGGTGAAAGCCACGTATCCTAACCGCCTAGACTATTTGGGAGCACCTTCTCGTAACCAACCCTACACGCAACTCGCGCCCTTTGCGCCATAACCACCACCCGCACGCCGACCAGATACGCACCCCCAGCCCGCCCACGCCCGCGCGCGCCTCCCCGTCGCCAGCGCTTGCCTCATCGGTCCGAAACAACCGCGAACCAGCCTCACGTGGAGCTCGTCTAAGCGTCGGCTTCATCGGATGCCTCTGCACGCTCCCAACGCCGACACGACCCCCTCAGCACGATATGCAGCGCCCGGAACGTCGATCTCACGGACTGAACAGGCCAAACAAGCAAAACAAGCTGCAGGCCGGCAGGAGCGGAAAAGCAAAATTCCCAAACCGGGACTCGAACCCGGGTCGCGTGGGTGAAAGCCACGTATCCTAACCGCCTAGACTATTTGGGAGCACCTTCTCGTAACCAACCCTACACGCAACTCGCGCCCTTTGCGCCATAACCACCACCCGCACGCCGACCAGATACGCACCCCCAGCCCGCCCACGCCCGCGCGCGCCTCCCCGTCGCCAGCGCTTGCCTCATCGGTCCGAAACAACCGCGAACCAGCCTCACGTGGAGCTCGTCTAAGCGTCGGCTTCATCGGATGCCTCTGCACGCTCCCAACGCCGACACGACCCCCTCAGCACGATATGCAGCGCCCGGAACGTCGATCTCACGGACTGAACAGGCCAAACAAGAAAAACAAGCTGCAGGCCGGCAGGAGCGGAAAAGCAAAATTCCCAAACCGGGACTCGAACCCGGGTCGCGTGGGTGAAAGCCACGTATCCTAACCGCCTAGACTATTTGGGAGCACCTTCTCGTAACCAACCCTACACGCAACTCGCGCCCTTTGCGCCATAACCACCACCCGCACGCCGACCAGATACGCACCCCCAGCCCGCCCACGCCCGCGCGCGCCTCCCCGTCGCCAGCGCTTGCCTCATCGGTCCGAAACAACCGCGAACCAGCCTCACGTGGAGCTCGTCTAAGCGTCGGCTTCATCGGATGCCTCTGCACGCTCCCAACGCCGACACGACCCCCTCAGCACGATATGCAGCGCCCGGAACGTCGATCTCACGGACTGAACAGGCCAAACAAGCAAAACAAGCTGCAGGCCGGCAGGAGCGGAAAAGCAAAATTCCCAAACCGGGACTCGAACCCGGGTCGCGTGGGTGAAAGCCACGTATCCTAATCGCCTAGACTATTTGGGAGCACCTTCTCGTAACCAACCCTACACGCAACTCGCGCCCTTTGCGCCATAACCACCACCCGCACGCCGACCAGATACGCACCCCCAGCCCGCCCACGCCCGCGCGCGCCTCCCCGTCGCCAGCGCTTGCCTCATCGGTCCGAAACAACCGCGAACCAGCCTCACGTGGAGCTCGTCTAAGCGTCGGCTTCATCGGAGGCCTCTGCACGCTCCCAACGCCGACACGACCCCCTCAGCACGATATGCAGCGCCCGGAACGTCGATCTCACGGACTGAACAGGCCAAACAAGCAAAACAAGCTGCAGGCCGGCAGGAGCGGAAAAGCAAAATTCCCAAACCGGGACTCGAACCCGGGTCGCGTGGGTGAAAGCCACGTATCCTAACCGCCTAGACTATTTGGGAGCACCTTCTCGTAACCAACCCTACACGCAACTCGCGCCCTTTGCGCCATAACCACCACCCGCACGCCGACCAGATACGCACCCCCAGCCCGCCCACGCCCGCGCGCGCCTCCCCGTCGCCAGCGCTTGCCTCATCGGTCCGAAACAACCGCGAACCAGCCTCACGTGGAGCTCGTCTAAGCGTCGGCTTCATCGGATGCCTCTGCACGCTCCCAACGCCGACACGACCCCCTCAGCACGATATGCAGCGCCCGGAACGTCGATCTCACGGACTGAACAGGCCAAACAAGCAAAACAAGCTGCAGGCCGGCAGGAGCGGAAAAGCAAAATTCCCAAACCGGGACTCGAACCCGGGTCGCGTGGGTGAAAGCCACGTATCCTAATCGCCTAGACTATTTGGGAGCACCTTCTCGTAACCAACCCTACACGCAACTCGCGCCCTTTGCGCCATAACCACCACCCGCACGCCGACCAGATACGCACCCCCAGCCCGCCCACGCCCGCGCGCGCCTCCCCGTCGCCAGCGCTTGCCTCATCGGTCCGAAACAACCGCGAACCAGCCTCACGTGGAGCTCGTCTAAGCGTCGGCTTCATCGGATGCCTCTGCACGCTCCCAACGCCGACACGACCCCCTCAGCACGATATGCAGCGCCCGGAACGTCGATCTCACGGACTGAACAGGCCAAACAAGCAAAACAAGCTGCAGGCCGGCAGGAGCGGAAAAGCAAAATTCCCAAACCGGGACTCGAACCCGGGTCGCGTGGGTGAAAGCCACGTATCCTAATCGCCTAGACTATTTGGGAGCACCTTCTCGTAACCAACCCTACACGCAACTCGCGCCCTTTGCGCCATAACCACCACCCGCACGCCGACCAGATACGCACCCCCAGCCCGCCCACGCCCGCGCGCGCCTCCCCGTCGCCAGCGCTTGCCTCATCGGTCCGAAACAACCGCGAACCAGCCTCACGTGGAGCTCGTCTAAGCGTCGGCTTCATCGGATGCCTCTGCACGCTCCCAACGCCGACACGACCCCCTCAGCACGATATGCAGCGCCCGGAACGTCGATCTCACGGACTGAACAGGCCAAACAAGCAAAACAAGCTGCAGGCCGGCAGGAGCGGAAAAGCAAAATTCCCAAACCGGGACTCGAACCCGGGTCGCGTGGGTGAAAGCCACGTATCCTAACCGCC